ATGTTCTCTGGCCACAATTTAGAAAATTCACATATGTGTGGAAATTATACAAGACTCTCCATGTTCTCTGGCCACAATTTAGAAAATTCACATATGTGTCGAAATTATACAAGACTCTCCTAAATAAACAATAGGTAAAAAGAAAAATCACAGGGAAATTAGAGAGTACTTTGAGATAAAAATTAGAGTGCAACATTCAAAATTTATAGGATGCAGGGCTCATGCAGTGCTTAGAGGAAAATTTATTCCTGTAAACACCTATATTAAAAATAAGAAACAGCTCAGATCATTAATGTAAACATCTACCTTAAGAAAATAGGAAAAGTAGAGCAAACTAACCCTAAAGCAAATATAAGTAGGACATAGCAAAGATTACAACAGAAATATATGAAATAGGGAATTAAAAAACAATAGAGAAAATCAGCAAAACCAAAAGTTGATTCTTTAAAAAGATCAACAAAATTTGCAAACCTTTATCTAGACTGACCAAGAAAAGAGAGAGAAGACTGAAATTATGAAAATCAGAAATAAAGCAGGAGCATTATTACATTGTCATTATGGTTTTTTGTGGTGGTTAAGATTAAGTTTCTTTCTCTTTCTCATTTGCATTTTTGTTCTAGCAGTGGGTTTTGTTCTTTCTTGTGTATTTGTGGTAGTGGTTATCATTTTTCATATTCCAGATGCAGGACTTCCTTGTGGTGAACTCCTGCAGTTTTTATTTGTCTGGAGAATACACTATTTCTCCCTCGTTCTGAATGATAGCCTTGCTGGATATAGTATTCTTGGCTGGCAGTTTTTTTCTTTTAGTATTTTGAGTATATCATTCCATTTTCTTCTGGCTTGTAGAGTTTCTGTTGAGAAGTCAGCTTTTAGTCTGATACGGGCTCTCTTATAGGTGATTTGACACTTTTCTTTTTCTTCTTTTAAGATTCTCTCTTTGTCTTTGAGCTTTGCCAGTTTGATCACAGTGTGTCTTGGAGAGGATCTTTTTGGGTTGAATCTGTTTGGGGATCTTTGAGCCTCCTGAATCTGAAGGTCCGTGTCTCTCCCTATACCTGGGAAATTTTCTGTTATTATTTCATTGAATAGGTTTTACATGCCTTTTCCTTTCTCTTCCCTTCTGGAACATCCATGATTCAAATGTTTGTGCACTTAAAGTTGTCTGCTAGCTCTCTTAAATTTTCTTCATTTTTTAAAATTCTTTTTTCCTTTTTTTTTTTTTGGTCTGCGGGTTATTTTGAGAAGACTCTTTAAGATCAGAAATTCTTTCTTCTGCTTGTTCCAGCCTACTGCTTAAGCTCTTGGTTGTGTTTTTTACTTCATTGAGTGAATCTTTCAGTTCCATGAGTTCTGCTACATTCTTTTATAAGGTATTAATCTCTTTGTAAATTTCCTCCTTCATATCCTGGAGTGTTTTTGTCATTTCATTATGTTGTCTGAGTCTTCTTGTATCTCAGTGAGTTTCCTTAAGATTGTTGCTTGGAATTCCTTTTCTGTCATTTCAAGTGTTTACTGGTCTATAGGGTCTGGTATTTGAGAATTACTGCTTTCTTTTGGTGGTTTCATATTTTCTTGGTTTTTAATATTTCTAGAATGTCTGTGTTGATGCCTGGTCATCTGGTAGAAGAGTTGCTTCTTCTATTACTCTGGAGTGAGCTTTGAGGAGAGAGATGTCCTTTTCTGGTCTTGACTGGTGACTCTCCTTGTGTCAATGTGGTCAAGGGTCTGGCAGGCTGCCTGCACAGTGGCTGTGGTTACTGCTGTGGCATCGAGCTACTTTTGTAGCAGCTGTGGCTTTGGCTGTGGCTGTAGTGGGCCACCCACAAAGAAGTGGTGTTTTTGGCATGACCTTTTGCCTGCTTCCAGATGGGGGGTGCTGCCCTCAGGTCCTGCCTAGGACCCTGGGTATGCTCTCTTGCCTGCTTCTGGGTGGAGCCATGTTTGCAAATTTAGCACTGAACATTTAGGTGACACTGCAGCTGACATTGCACACAGATTCATAAGAACTTATCTTTAACTCAGATCCCCATTTGTTTGAGGTTAACAGGAAACTGGGCCTCCCAGAGAAGCTGTGTCTGGGAAACACTTTCAAACACAGCTGATAATAAAGCTATGCTGACACTAGTCTGAAGCAAATTAAATCCAGCAGGACCCTAAAATAAAGTCCAGAACAAGGATAGAAACCAGACAGAAGCTTGGTGAGATTTTGCATCTGGCCCTTTACAAATAGGCCCCATAGCTCACATATCCCTCTCTCCTGCTTTTACTCCCTACTTCTTACCCCATAAAAACCCTCAGTGAACTTGAGAATATGAGATAGTCTTAGGGACTTTAGTCCACCATCTCCTCAGGATTGCTGGCTTCTTGAATAAAGCTACTTTTTCTTTTCACCAACAGTTGCCTCTTGAGTCATTGGCTTTTCGAGTGGCAGGCGGCTGGACTTGGGTACAGTAACACTAGTATCACACATTAATACAATTGAGGAGAGAAAAGGCAAATGAAGCTGTTCACTACCAACAGAGTGCATAGAGCCCAGCTTTCAGTCCAGCTGTGCAGGCTCGCTCATGCACCTGTCCCTTCTCTCTTCTTTCAGCACACAGCCTTGGTCAGCAGGCTGGGAGAGGTGAGGGAGAACCGGCCTGCCTCAGGCACTGCTGGTTCACTGGGGAAACTGATCAGCACTAGGACTGGATGGAGTAGAATAGGTGCTGCAAAGATGGACAGTTAGCACTAGAGGATGGAAGGAAACATCACAAGGATACTGGTCCTTCAGCAGGGGCTTGAAAGATGGACTTAATGTCATGAATAGTTAAGAAGAGGCAGAGGGAATCTGGGAGTAAAAAAATCTAGGGGTGAGAAAGAAAAGCTTTACCTGAGGGCGGATGGTTGCCCGTAGGGTTTGAGGGGATAGGAGGGAGATGTGAACTGCCAGGACTGCATTCCAGAGGGGACGTGAGGATGTGACATGCCCCAGAGGGATCATCGAGGTGCAGGCAGGTATAGGGGCAGATGGAGGGAAGATGGAGATAGGGGTACGTGAAACGAAATTATTTACTGTAAATGACTACTGCTTTAATTTCAGCTATGTAAATGGAAGGATTCACATCTCTAGATAAAAAAGGATGTGAGGAAGTCTTAAAATTATTCTCATGAATCAGAACATTTTAAAAAAGTACTTTGGTCTCAGAATCCTGGTGAGAATACATCCACAGACTTCTATACTTGGTCGTTTAGAGCAGGGGTCCCTAAACATTTTTGATTGTATAACACAGTTAAAAAAAAAAAAAAGGCAATAGGATCAAGATGGTGAAATAGACAGTCCCCAGCATCACCGCCTCCCACAATCAACCAATTTACAGGCAATAGATCAAGATGGTGAAATAGACAGTCCCCAGCATCACCGCCTCCCACAATCAACCAATTTACACCTATTAAAAAGCAACAACTGCCAAGCTGGGGCTGCTAGAGCTCCAGGGAAGAGGCGGAGAGACCTATGGAGTTCATGAAGGTGGGAGAAGCCATGATGAGAGAAAAAAGGACCACTCCTACTGTTTTGAGACTGGGCCACAAGGCTGTCCCTGGTGAGCACATGGAGCAAGAGTTGGCAAAAGCCACTGCTGTGCCCTTTGTGTGAAGTTGCTCGGAGACTGCAGGGAAGAAGAGGGCCTTGATGGCCCCCTGGCCAGCAAGACCACTAACAGGGTTCCTGTGGACCCACATAGGAGCGAGGGACCCCAAACAATTGAAAAAAGGAGCCACTCAGAGGCTGGTGAGTCATCACAAGGGATTGGCACATGGCCCATCCCATGGGAAGTGTTTGGAGTGTGGGGGGTGGGGGAGACAGGCCCACTGGGGGAACACTGGGGCACAGCAAGGTCAGCTGATCTGCCCTCCAATCAGTGTGGGACCACTCAGGAGAGACTGGTCAGGAATATATAGAACTTTAGGGATGCAGATTGCTCAAAAGACTCAGGCCCAGACCAGAGTTTCCACACAACCCAGGTGTACCAGATCTCACAAGACCTGGAATTACTTAAAGGTCAACAATTAAAACCCGAGCTGCACAAAAAGCCTTCCCCAGATAATTAGCAGCAAAGCCGCAATTTAGCTCAACCACAGGGCTCAGGTGCTGGTTCCCACTGGAAGTTCCTGCATTTTAGAAGTAAGCAGGGACAACAAATTAGTTCCAGTGCAGAGTTTAAGTGGTGGGAATAGTGAATAATACAACACAGAACTGAAAGAAAACAAAAAATTCCCACAGATCGGAGACAAAGTTCTGATATTAACCAGTAAAGATCTAACACCACCAAAGAACACCTATAAAACCTAGAAGGACCAGAAACCCCCCAGGCTCCCAAGCCGGGGTGGGGGTGTGGCTGAGGGCCTCAGCCACACCCCTCCAACATCTGCATCCAGCCCAGTGACAACCACCAGGCCACTGCAGGAAGTACTGTGGGTCCCCAAACTGAAGCGGTGGGGGGCTGACTCAGCCATGCCCCCTGACTCCACATTCAGCCCAGCGATGACCACCCAGCAGCTGCTGGAAGCGCCCAAGCCAGGGTGGTGGGGCGCTGAGAGCCTCAGCCACACTCCCCCGACATCCACATCTAGCCCAGTGAAGAACACCAAGCTGCCCCTAGAAGCACCCTGGGTTCCCTAGCTGGGGCAATGGGGGGCTGAGGTCCTCAGCAACACCCTCCCGATGTCTGCATCTAGCCTACTGATGACCACCAGGCCAGTGCTTGAAGCATCCCAGTCTTCCAAGCCGGAGCTGGGGTGGGGCAAAGGGCCTCAGCCATACTCCTCCAATGTCAGCACCCAGCCCAGTGACAACCACCGGGCCATCGCTAGAAGCATCCCAGGTCCTCGAGTTGGGGCAGTAGGAGGCTGAGGGCCTCAGCCACGCCCCCCTGACATCCACATCCAGTCTAGCAATGACCACCGAGCCACTGCCAGAAGCACCCTGGGCTCCCCAACCAGGATGGTGGGGGCTGAAGGCCTTAGCCACACCCCTCGATAACTGCATCCAGCCCACTGATGACCACCAGGCCACTGGAAGCACCCTGGCCTCCTGAGCTGGAGCGGTGGGATGTGGAAGGCTTCAGCCACACCCCTCCAATGTCAGCATCCACCCTGGTGATGACCACTGAGCCACCACTGGAAGCACCCAAGGCTTCCGATCCAAGTGGAGGGGCACTGAGGGCATTAGCCACGCCCTCCTGACGTCTGCATCCAGTCCAACGCTGACCAGTGAGCCACCACCACCGGAAGTCCCCTAGGCTGCCCTGTCGGAATGAGAGGGGTGCCACAGGCCTCAACCATGCCACACCCTCCCTCCTTTCTTCTCCTCAAACCCTATCTCCCTCCCCTTTCCCCTCTCTCCCACCCCAAACTGCTCTGCAACAGAATCTAGAATGTAAAAATAATAATAATAAATTAATTAATTTAAAAAATTTAAAAAATTTATTTCCATGAAAAAACCAAAACCATTGAGCACCCACTCCAAATGTGCATATATTTATTATTCATGCATCATATGCATATGTATACATATCATTCTATTAATATTAACATGCATTATGAGGTGTGCTACGAGAAATAGTAAATTTTAGTGAAAATTAAGTGACATTTTAAGGATATCTCCCCCTCCCCTGTGTGTGCACCCCTTGTGAAGACCACTGTTCTTTTTTTTGTTTTGTTTTTTAAAAGATGATCAGTAAGGGGATCTTAACCCTTGACTTGGTGTTGTCAGCACCACGCTCTCCCAAGTGAGCAAACCGGCCATCCCTATATGGGATCCGAACACATGGCCTTGGTGTTATCAGCACCGCACTCTCCCAAGTGAGCCACGGGCCGGCCTTAAGACCACTGTTTTAAAACCCACATTTTCAGCCTAACTGAGCTGCTGCCCTGGAGTTCTGCTCCTTCACAGCAGGCTCTCGCTGGGCAGCCTCCCTCCTTCCCACCGGTTTTGTCTCTCACGAATTAACTAGATGTGGGGAGCCCTCTTAATTTCTTTTTTCTGACTTTTTCCTCCCCTTTCAACCTCTTTCTTGTGCTGTCCCCGCTACTCTCAACTTCAAGGCAGATTAAGAAAGGATTTACAAAGTGGGGAAGGTACAGGGGAGGGAATCTGGATTGGAAGTCTGGGGAGTTGTGGGCTTGGGGCTCTGACCAGCTGTGTGACAGTGGATGGGTCACTTCAGGCTTTCTGGGGGTGAAATGCTGCCCTTTATGTGGTAGGGTGCTGGGCATACCTGCTGCACACAAGGGCCCAAAGCCAGTGCTGGCCTCTCATCTGGTTGAGCTCGAGAAAAACAATTCCAGGACATATTTAGAACACCCTCCCCTCTCTCCGAGATCCAGCCACGCTGGATGCGGATATTCATCTAGATCAGCACAGCTTGCACTTGGCCTCTTATCTGGAAAGGGCACGGCAGGCTTGTCACTCTCCTTCCTTCCTCCTGGGGGATGGCTTTGGTCCTGCCCTTCATATCCTCCTCTGGGCCTTCCAACCCAGAGGTCTTTCTCCTTGGAGCAGGGTCAGGGCTCAGCCTGGACGTACACTGTCACTCTTTCTGAACACTGCGCTGGACCCTGGTCTGCTGCTGGGAGAAGGCCATCTCCAAAAGCTGGGGTCTTTGACTCCCAGGGTGGGTGGGAATAGTGTGGGGAAGGACATGGGTCTCCTCCAACTCCCTGCCCCCCCAGAAGGCCTTCGATCAATCTCAGTTTGCACAGGAGCAATACCAGTTATTGTCCAGTTCAGGTCACACCCAGGCCCACCACTTGGAAGCCCCCCTTGCTCTCCCCTGCAGACATTGTGAGCTTGCTGTGGGGCCAGGCATAGTGTCAGAGCACTATGACATGAGGGGCAGAGCTTCAGAGGGTTTGCAATGAATGGATGGATTCCTGCGTTCTCTGGGGGAGACACCTTGAGCTCCTGCCCCTACTTCTGCCCTTTAATTCTTTATGTCAAGATCACCAAGCACCCCTGCTCAGTACCTCTGTCTGAAGTCAAGAGAGTAGTAGAGTTGGGCCTGGGCCAGGAGGGTAAGAGGAAGTGGGCCCTTGAGCTGAGAAGTGCCCTGGATGTCCTGAGTGGGCTGGTCTAGGTGGCAGCAGTCATTCGGTCAAACAATGTGTTTGTAGAGCAGGAGTGTGGATGTCAGAAGCCCCCGTGCTGTGGCTGGATAAACAACAGGAAAGGTAAACTCTGGGAGCCCTCAGAAGTGGCACCCACTCTCCACCCGGGCTCCCCATCCTGTGATTATGCACAGGCCTTGTTGAGGCAACTTGAAGAGGTTGGCGCTGACAGGCTGGCCTCAAATGTTCCTCCACACCCTCCTGGACCCTCCCACCCCTTCTGGGGGCAATGGCAGCCAGCACCTACAGGGTGCTTTGGTGTGAACCTGGGTGAATTACAGTCAATCTCAAAAAGTCCTGAATTAATGAAAATATTGCTAATTAAATTAAATGGTTTTTCTAAACTTGCTCTAATAGGAGAGGATATTAATCAAAATTCCATTTTTCAACTAACACTAAAATACAGATAGCTATTGTCATAAAAGCCACAGTGACAAGAATGAAGCTTGAGGCCAAGACCCGGACCTGACCCAGACTGTTTCCCTTCCCAAGTCGTGGGCGGTAGGAGAGGTACCACGCGGAATCTGCTTGATTTTTTCACATGGAGAAGGTCCCTTTTAATTAAACAACAAAACATGTCTGAAGGAATAATACAGTTATTTCAGACTCCAGCTTTATTATCTCTAAACACTTCAATTCAGTGTTTTAAAAATTAGGGATTACTTTTAAACTGATTGATTCTGATGGTTATCCACAATATTCAAAATCAGAACCTTCTGTCTCACCAGGAACCACACCCCCTTATACCCGTGTTTCAAACAGAAGTTTCATAAAGTCATTCCTTTGTACAGTTTTACTAAAAATATATCAGGCTTCAATTCAGTCAGTTGATTTCTCACACGGAGGACACTTGGTCCAAGGCACAAATAATTTCTGAGACCCTGTCCTCTGAACATGGAAAACACTCCAGTTAGCTGGAAGGAATCCCAGAGCTCTGAGCTGACAGCCCTCCTGTGAGCCTGGTGGTGAGAATCCACTGTCGATCGGACGTGCTAAGCTAGAGTTATTCACTCTTCAAAGCAGTTGGAGAATGTATAGGTGAGTCTTGGTGTTTGTGGATTCCATATCTGTAGATCTGTATACTTGCTAAAATCTATTTCTAACCCACAAAATCAGTATTTGTGGTGCTTTCGTGGTCATTCACAGACACGTGCAAAGCAGCAGAAAGTCTGGGCCACCAGACCCCCATGTTCTCAGCTCAGGTCTAACAGGATGACGTGCTGCCTGCCTGTTCCAGCTCTCAAACTGTAAACAAGTGGGATTTTAATGGTCTGCTTTTCCACATTTGTCACATTTTTGTGTTGTCAGTTGGTGATTTTGCTCCTTCAGATGGCCCCTAAGCATAGTGATGAAGCACTGTGTGCTGTTTCTAAGAGCAAGAAGGCTGTGACGTGCCCTGTGGAGAACATGCAGGTGTCAGGAAGCATCGATCAGGCATGAGCTACAGGGCTGCCAGCGGGAGTCCAGTGATGACAACTCAACACCATGTCCTAAAGGAGGTGTCTTCAAAGAGAAAGACACAGGGGGGCATCCTCCTCACCCCTCAGCTGCCGTAGGCCCTGTGGAGATCACTGTTTGAGAACCCAGGTGTTCAGCCTAAAACTTCTGACTGCAAATGCCTCTGCGGATGACATTGGAAGGTCTGTGCAAATTTTCCAGGAAGAGGCCCACAGCTTCAGGAGATTTCCAAATGGCTCTGTGAGTCACAAACTCTTCAGACTCAGTTCTCCTGAGAATGAAAAAAACTGTAAAGGTCTTCTTCTTTTTTAGTATATTAAGATGAAAGTCACATAACAAAATCAACCATTTTATTTTATTTTTTTATTTTTATTTTATTTATTTATTTATTTATTT